TACCATTGCTGTGAAAACAATGATAATACTGGGAAATCAGAAATTATAAAGTTATACTATTTGACAAAAGGAGGCTTTGATAAATTTGACAAGAAGGGCTCTCTTTACTCAAGCGATATTTTTTTAGAATACTGGATATGTGTGCTGTGAATTCATTCATATTGTCACAATCATATCCTGATGCTACTAAACTGAAAAGAAAACATTTTAATTTTATGCTTTTATTAGCAAATCAACTAAGAGTCATATAATGATATCTGAAACTTAGGATAACTTCTGCTTTTTTCCTATTGAAGATAACAATTAGAAGAATCTTTGGACAGAATGAAATTAAGGTAATGGATTTATCAAATCAAGAAGAAAAATTAGAAAAAAGAAAAACTTGTAGTCTCTGCCCGTCTTGTAAGAAGAGAAAAATAGCATGCAAATGCTTGGAATGCAAGGAATCAGTGTGTCTTCAGTGCTGTCAAAAAGTGTGTTTCGACTGTGTACCATCTTATGATTCATTCTTGTAAACAAAGGTATACTAATTTATTAATAATTTATAGCTAAATTCATGGTTGTAGAAGGTTTGTTTGGCCAATTAAACAACTCATGGTTGTTTAATTGGTAGTAATACTTAATGAAGTCACATATTGTCATGCATATTTAATAAATCTTTGTTCTTTAAAACGAAGAAAATAGTCATTTTTTATATGAATTAAATTGTGTAAAATTAAATAATTCATGTGTGAAATATATTGATTTAAATGAATTAGAATTCCGTAAATAAATATGCATAAAGTATGTATAATATTTCTAAAAATTGCATAAAAGTATATATTTTTACACGTTTCTTAAAAGTGGTTTGTGAGACCGCTCACAGTAATTATGCCAAAAAAAATTGTCACAAGAGTGAAAGGTTAACCATACCTAAAAATTTTACAGTACAAACACTGATATTTCATGCTTATTTGAGTTTTTGCATGGTGGAAAACAGAAGAAGGCATTAGAATGATGCAGGTAAAATGAAAAATTGTAGAAGTATCAGTTTTCAAATAGTGAGATGAGAGTGCAGTAGAAATAATAGAAGATAGACACAATGTGAAATAAAAAGATAAATATAAAAGTGAGAAAAAATTGCTTGTTGAGAAAAAACTTAAGTTGGCCTTTAAAATGAACCTTTGAGAACGAGTCTCAATAGATCGCAGTATGGTGGCTGCTCTACTACTTACAACGTGAAGATGGAGTATCTGGTCCTCACCTCTTAAGAAGAGGTATCACCAGAGCCATAGGCTAAGAGATTTTGCAAATTTAAAGCTTAATGCTCAATGAGATTAAATCCGAATTTTAAAATTTAGAATAACCTAGCATGAATTTTGATGTCGTCTGACTAAAAGATGTGTTGGCCTCGCCAACATCTTTATTGAATATAATTTACATAATACATTTTATCGTAAGATTAATGAAAAATATATAATTAAAATGATCAAGACAAATTTGAATAAAAATAATTATTATATTTGAAGAAAAATTATTGAACATTAATCGATATTGTAACATAAGATTGCAGATATTATTTCTAATCGATGATAATATCAAATAATACAAATAATTATAAGTATAATAAAAGGAATACAAGTATTTAATCATGAGTACAATTGAGATTCATTATGATAAATATATTCCATAAACTTAGCAAGAAGAAAACGTCCCTTGTCATTTAATACAAGTTTTTGCAACACGTCCATGGTTAGTTTTTGATTGAAGATTTCACATCGTTTAGCCGAGATGCTTGGACATTCAATTATCATATAAATTGCATCCACTGTTTCACGTCCACGTTGACATTTACAAATCGTTTCTTTTACTTGAATCTGTTTATGTAGCTTGGTAATGCTCCATGATTGGTAATGATCTGATTAAGAAAGAAGTCGCTAAGATGGCTTTTCTCCGAAACCTTTGGCAAGACCATATATGTATGTCTTCCTGTACCTTCATTTCGCCAATTTATTTGCCAAGTATTATTTGCTTTAATTTTTGCTGTTTTAACGAGAAAGCCCATTGGTATCTTGCAGTTTATTCTGTTTGTAGAGTAGATCCCTTGTTTGGCTGTTTCATCGGCTTTTTCATTGCCGATGTATCCTTGGTGTCCACGAATCCAATGTAGTTTTGCTTTTGTGAAAGAAAGTACATTCAAAAGTCTTTAATCCGGACTCGTCGGGACTTCGACGATTCCGGATTATAGATCATCAGTTTACATCTGGTAAGATGGCATGCAGAAATTATAAAATTAAAAATATGAAACCGTAATTTAAGAAATAAAAAGCAATTATGTTCTAAAGGGTATCAAAATTTACAAAAAAAAAAAAAGCTTAATATTTATTTGTTTACTTTATTAAACATTTCTTTCAATGCGTGCATGCGTAAAGCATACATTACGTATAGTCATAATTAGAAAATTGCAACCAGAAACTATTTGATTTGTATTCATGATATTTATAATGACGAGGAATTTGATTTAAATCATATCAAAGACGGAGTACATCGAGATGAAATACTACATTATAAGCTGAAAATTATAAGCAGAATAAAATAAAATATCTGCCTTGAAGATAAGGATAGTGCTGACAGATCAACTTCCAGTTCATTGCGCGCCGCGACGTCCCCCCTTGCGCAGAGCAGTGTGAAATTGATAAACAGATTTCGGAATGGTTAGAGAAACAAAGGAGCCTTTATCCATTTTTTGCAGCAATTCCACTTTTTGTTTGATGGACATTGAAACATGCTTTCCCTTTGTAGATCCAGCATCGGAAATTCTATTTGACATAATCGAAAGTTCCAACTTACTTTTATAAATTTGCTCTAACAGTCTGCAAAAAATAATAAGCCGGATCCAATTCGAAGATTAAGGAACAACGCAATCTGCAACATTAACTGAAATAGATAATTAGATAATTTTAGCTTAGCTTATAACCGTCCCTTATACATTAAGAGCGCATGCGTTAACATATTATGCACATGCATAGATGCATATGCGCATGCATAAAGGTATTACCACACATTGCATTGCCGCACGCGCAACGCATTTGCGTTGACGCATGCGCAGAAAGTTTGTAGCTTTGAGGTCTGGATTAAGGACTTTTGACTGTAATTTCTTAATCTCAATAATATTCTTATTATAAATATCAAACTTTCCCACTGACTTGAGAACGGCCTGGCTATCAGAATAGATGTGTGCAGGGCCGTGATGCGCTTTCAGCCATAATAATGCCGATTTTAAAGCTTGGGTTTCGGCTTGATACACTGAATTTTTTATCCAGCTAAAACATAAACTGTTCTTTATATATTCCGTGCCAATAGGAGCAAAAACCAGCTCCTCTACCATCTTCATTCTTTGAGCCATCTGTGTATAGCTCCAATCCGTTATTGGTGGGAGGTTTGTTATCCCATTGATATACTTTGATAAGGGCAGGGTGAGAATGCCACTTGTGAGCTGGAAACTCAATTTGTTCCTGTGGAAAGTCTATATCATCGAATTTGAAATCGGACCAGCCTCTTTTTGTTCATTGGATAGAACTTTCCATGTCGAGTTTGATGTTGAGTGGAAGAAGTCCAGCAATTATTTGTAGTGCTGCAGTAGGAGCGGTTTTGTAACTTTTAGTCATTGCAAGAAGAGCTATACATTGTATAGAATTTGTTTTGTTTCTCATTTTAACCGTAGGAGGATGCCATTATGCCGGGCATGCATAAACCACCGTTTGTTCGATGGCTGTCTTATATAGTTCTTTCAAAACTGGTTTGGGCAAATCAGGCAATCGTAATAAGTTATTCATAATTTTACAGACTTTCGATTTGATAAAGTCCAAATGAGGTAACCAAGTTAGGCATTCATCCATAACTATTCCTAAATATTGGATCGATTTCTGTCTTTTGATCGTATTTTCATTCATTTTTATAGTTGGGGCTGAGTATGCTGCACCCCTTTTCTTAATTGAAACAAACATTGATTTCGATTTATCCAGTGAAAATTGAAGATTATATTGTTTTGCCCATTCCGATAGTTTTTGCAGAGCAAGTTTTGCTCTTGTTTGAATTTGCATGTGGTTCGATCCAGTAATTAACCAGAGGACGTCGTCCATTTCAAAACAAAGGTCCAGAGTTAGAACCTTGTACACAACCTTTCTGTAGTTTCTGAGAGTAATGTGTGTTGTTTATCCCGTAAATAATATGTCGATTTTCCAAAAGACTTTCGAACGCTTTATATATACTTAATGGGCAGCCCAAGTTATGCAGTTCTTGAAATAGGAATGGCCACCAGATATTACTGAAGGCGCTTTTAATATCTAATGATATAACATTAGTATAATTAGAATTTCTCCGATTATCTTCTGTACGAGAAATTATGTCTTTAATAGTGTCCGCTGAACATTTTCCAGCTTTGTTGTCCACTTAAGTTTAGCGTTGGAGTATAGGAAGAAAGATAATCTATTGGTTAGTAATTTATCATAAACTTTACTCCATGAGTTAAGTAAACAAATTGGTCGATAGGCGTCAGGTAGTTTGCCATTCTTTCCTTCTTTTGAGAACAATGTTAACTTTGCTGTCTTCCAACAGTCCGGTAAAGAACCGCGTCGGAAGAGTTCATTAAGCAACGTTGTTTGAAGTAGCGGATTTGCATAAAAAACTTCTGCTATAATTTCTTTTGGTAGGTGATCTATACCAGGTGCTTTGCTTGGATTTAAGGATTTTATCGTGTATTTCACCTCTTGCTCAGTGAAGGGGATATCATTTGAAGCGCCATAATTATTCTTTAGATTAGTTCGAATTTGCGTATGATACTCTGTGTCATCACTTCTTGAGTCCTTGGGAAAGTGATAGTCCATAAGAAGTTTTATTGTTTCTTATATTGGGCTTGTTTTTGTATTATCTGGTTTCAGTAATGCTTTTAATTGTAGAGGAGTTTGCATATTTCCTTTTGCCATATCATAACGTACATCAAATGGAGTACTTGGACTTAATCATTCTAAATATAATTTCCATGTTCTTCTTTTAGCTGTCATTATCTTTCGTTTGTAGTTAGCTAATTCCTTCTTATAAATTTGTTTATAATGAGATCTTAGTTCTTCATCGTAAGTGCGTTTTTGATAGCGCTTTCTTTGTGCCAAAATTCTTTTTCGTAATATAGAAAGTTCAGGTGTCCACCAAGGGACTCCTTTATGCTGTGTTGTGATATATTTTCCCTTAGCCTTAATAGCTAAATCACAAAAGTCTTGAATACTTTTTGTCCATTTGATGATTAATTCATTGAGATCCACCATATCTTTGATCAATTGTGGGCCAATAGGTCCAAAAAAGTTGCCAAGTTTCTCCTTAAGAAATAGCCAGTCTATTTTAGATAATTTATATTTTGCATGTGAATTTTGTGTAAGATTTTGATATGTGATTTCAAAGTAAATATAGCAGTGATTACTTAAGGTGACGCTGTCCATTACATTCCAATTTTGAATAAAGGCTAAGGAGGATGCTGATCGTGAAGCAATAATATCTATCCAGCTTTTGCCCCGAGTATAGTTGTACATTGGGGGGGGGCATTCCGGATCATTCCCTACTACTATTCTATCTGCAGTTAAAAATTCTCTAAGTGTGCACCCCCTGGGATCTTCAAATGGGGAGCCCCATAGTTCACTCTTAGCATTCAAATCTCCTAGAATAAGAATATCATGTTCATTATCTAAAAATCGTTCCACTGAATCCAGAAGAGTAATTAAGTATGTCAAGTCAGTAATTGGCTGACTATAACAGTTAAACATAGAGAGTTCTTTGGTCAATCTTTAAAGTAGTAATTATCAAGAATGATAAAGAAAAAGTATTTAATACCATTATTTGTGGATTAACCACAATAGTTGCCGTTTTGGGATGTTGGTCCAATGAGTAAATGACTTTTGTTTGGATTGGAAAGCCGACCGGTTTACCATTTATGCAATATGGCTCTTGAACAAATATTATATCAAAGTCATATTATATCAAATATAATATATTATATCAAATATAATCTATCAAAATATTATATCAAAGACCCTCTTTTGTGAGGGAGCCCACCTATCATGCCAAGGTACCCGAGCACTGGGAAAGTGTTAGAAACAAAATAATATATAATAAAACTATAGAATCACAATCATATTTCGCACGATAATATCATATTTTAATCACATACCAATCACATTTCAAATTTGCTTTCCCCAGAGCAATCACTAAAGACGTTCAGAAAGCTAACAAAGGCAAGATGTGCCTTTATGACGATTTAATATTCTTCTTCAAGCCAGACGACGTATGTGAATGAAGACGTGCCTTTATGACGATTTAATATTCTTCAAGCTGGACGACATATGTGAATGATGTTACATGCTACTTGTCCATTCTTCTGATTTTGGACGTTAAATCGAAATTCGATTTTGGATTACATTGGATTGGCCAAGAATATATATTGGATTATAAGGACTGCCCCGAAGTTAGGTAGGCCCATTTTTCCCTGATTCGTTCATAATTTATTAGTATTACGATTTTAAGCTGTGTTTATACTGTTTAATTCTCATTCATACATACCCTATTTCATATTCATATTGTCCTATTTTACTGTTTATGGCCCTAAGAACTATGGCCCTAAAATTAGGTGATATCCCATTGATAGCGAATTCTCCTTAAATATGGCACAACACGAGTTATTAAATTATTTAATACCGTGCTCGGATATTCCGATTTTGATCATTCTTCGCGAAAGAGAATGCGAAATTTTGCCGCCATTCCCGGACAGTTTCGATTTGGCAAAACATAAAGAACTTCTATTAAAAGATTTTTCTTTATCAGATTTTATATCAGTGGCGAATTTATTGCATTTGGAAGCTTCCACTAATAAAGATGTTTTATGTGAAAAAAATTTTCATGCGCTCACTAATCTGACGGATTTTCACAATTCCCTAGATGTTAGTTTTTTATCCGATGACGATCATTCAATTTCAAACACCGACAGTGCACCTGACGCCTGTAGGTCTAAGTTCTTCTGTTCCCCTTCCCCCTTCCCCTCCCTCCACGGCGCCAAGCCCAAATCGCGTTGTTTCTTCTGACACAGAAGTAATAAATTTGAATTCGAGTCGCTCCGGTGTTTTATATCAGTTCCGCAACCTTTTCTCACCTGCGATGCCAATCTTTCTGGAATTTCTCCAAAGAGTTTCGAGACGGAAGTGCCGTCAAATGCTCTTACAATTGAAATATTAAAAACGACATTTTAGGGAAAAAATTGTCATTTTGTATTAAATCATGATAAAAAATTGCAAAATGTCAAATACATGTATTTGATTGCGGCACACCTATATTACTCGTGAATTGAGTTTATATGACGGCGAAACCATTCCGATGAGTCGATCTTTCAAACACTTGACTTTCAGGCATGATGCTTTTTTCAACAATATAGATATGATTTATGGTTTATTTTGAGAGATCTTTCAAACACTTGCAGAAACTTTTCAGGCAATGATTCCTATTCAGTCCGTGCTTTTTTCAACGATATAGAGGATAATTTCCAATTATTCCCAAATCTTACCGACCAGCAAAAATTAGTTTTTGCGAAACGACTTGTTGTGGGTACTGCTAAAACTTTTTTGTTTTCACAACGGAATCTCAATTCATACGACATGTTTAAAACAGTATTACTTAATGAGTTCTCCGATAAAATTACGTCTATTGAAATTCATAAACAACTCGAAAGAAGAAAAATGCGCTCGAATGAAAGCTCTTTGCAATATTTTATCGCGCAATGCGCGAAATTGCGAATCGTGGTGACGGTGTTATCGACGAGGCTTCTGTCATTCAGTATACCATTCAAGGAATACTAGGTACCCCATCCGATAAAATTATTCTCTACGGTGCAAAATCATATTCTGAATTCAAGGAAAAGCTACGCACTTATGAATCTGTAGTTACGACTAGACATACAAATATCTCTCATCCATCAAATTTTAAAAATACGAATAATGGCCCCAGACGTGGTACTGGACGAAAAAATTCAGACCAACAACACGACACGAAATTTAATAATACTGGTCCATCTAAAACTAAACCACAAACTTGTTTTAACTGCAATGAGGTCGGACACCTCTCACGGTCCTGTCCTAATCGTTCTCTTGGCCCAAAGTGTCTAACTTGTGGTCGTTTTGGACATAAATCTATGGATTGCCCCCCCCACTACATCAAATGAGACTTCCACTCCACCTGCCGAAGTAAATACAGTACAAACCTCTCACGGTAATATGTGTAAAACTGTCGTTATACTCAATAGCACAGTTTCTGGATTAATTGACACTGGAAGTGAGGTCACATTACTGAACGAAAACACATGGATTCAACTTGGTTCCCCACCACTTTCAAATAATTCTGGAGTGTTAACTGGTTTCGGATTCTCGAAAATTCCTATTATTGGCTGTTTTCAAACCATTATCAACATTGATAACCAGGACTTTCCGGCTAATATTAGAGTTGTTCCAAATCATTCTATGCAATTTTCTCTTATTGTAGGATGTGACGTAATTAAAAATGCTAAATTAACTATTACACCAGATGGTATATATATTTTTCAAAACGTCCCGAGCAATGCTTTGAAACTGCTCCTGAATCTTTCATTTTTGCAATAAATGACGATGTTCCAGCTTTTGATATTGGTTCAAATGTTTCCAAAGAAACTCGTGCTGCGGCAGAACGTTTGCTGAATTCTTATGTCCCAAATAAAACAAAGACGACAGATATTAAACTTAATATCACTCTATCCGATGATAAACCGATTTTTCACCCTCCTAGACGCCTTCCTTTTGTTGAACGGGAAATTGTTGACAAACAAATAAATGAATGGTTGAAACTTAAAATTATTGAACCTTGTTCATCTCCATATGCCAGTCAAGTTCTCGTGGTGCGTAAAAAAGATGGTACACCCCGTGTTTGCATCGATTATAGGAAACTTAATCGACTTTTAATTAAGGATCATTTTCCTCTTCCTCTTATTGATGACATTTTGGATAAACTGCAAGACGCCCAAATTTTTAGTACTCTTGACCTACGTAACGGCTTTTTTCATGTGCCAGTAGCGGACGAAAGTAAACCATATACAGCTTTTGTAACTCACAACGGACAATTCCAGTTTCAGTTTCTTCGAATGCCATTTGGTCTTTCAAATTGCCCTTCAGTATTCCAGCGCTTTATAAATTATGTTTTTCGTGATTTAATTGTCAAAGGTTATGTTTTACCCTACATGGACGATGTAGTTATTCCCGCCAAAAATGAAAATGAGGCCATTCATCGTCTCAACCAAGTACTCAAAGTTGCTAGTGAATATGGTCTAGAAGTTAATTTTCGTAAATGTCAATTTCTTCACAAAAAAAATCGAATTTCTTGGACATATCGTTGAAGGTGGTAAACTTTTTCCTTCCCCTTCGAAAACAAAATCTGTAATTAACTACCCCGAACCTAAGAGTACGAAA